ACAGAACACACATACACTTACACAGATACAGAAATATGTTTCATATGAATCACCTAGGCCGAAATGACATGAAATTGATTTATTCAAACCTGATTTTCTTGGTTGATCTCACCTAATATTCTTGTAATGTTCCTTTGTACTATTTAAACTTGGATTAATTTTGATTTGGTTATTTATTTACTCTGAAGAAGTGACTTACATTGAGTTACGAAACGTCAGAAAATCTAATTTTTCTACTCATTGGGATATCTACAAATAGATTATTTTTATTTATAACAATCTACTCAATGTTCAATTTATTCGAAATGATCAAATCAAACTTTGATAATGATACCTACGTTATCATTAGTTTATTTAGATTAGTCAAATTATTTTAGTATGATGTCAATCATACTTAGAAAAGGTCATATCTAATGACAACTTGTCTATATATTTTATTTTATCTCTGAGTTGTAATTGAATTGCATTTTAACTACAAATGAAAAACACAATACAGTAAGATATTTATTGTGTACTGATAAATGTCACAAACTCCGCCTGGAGTCCCTCTGGGGGCTACTGCCGGTCCCAAGCCCGGATAAAGGAGGAGGGTTGGGCATGGGGTTAGCGTCCCCATCCCGTAGAAAACTAACTCGCTAAAAAAACGCTAACCAGAAAAAATTATTCAAACCTTTTAAACTCTGCCCTGGGAGTCAGAAGGTCTTTATTTAGAAGAATTATGACGTCTCATGATGAAAGCCGAATTCCTTCGGAAGTTACGAGGCCGATGCCCCTTCTGACAACCAGAGCAACCATTTATTTAGGTACGTGGAATGTTCGTACAATGTGGGACACCGGGAGAGTCTTCCAAATTGCTGCAGAAATGAGAAGATACAACCTAGAGGTACTTGGGATCAGTGAAACACATTGGACACAAGTTGGACAACAACGACTAACTTCAGGGGAGCTTCTGTTATACTTCGGCCATGATGAAGAAAATGCACCACATACACAAGGAGTTACATTGATGCTGTCCAAACAAGCACAAAATGCACTTATGGGATGGGATTCTCATGGACAAAGGATCATCAAAGCCTCCTTCAAAACAAACAAAGAAAGAGGGCATTTCAATGAACATCATCCAATGCTATGCGCCTACCAACGACTACAATGAAGACGATAAAGATCAATTCTACAATAGGCTGCAGTCAATCGTCAAGAAGTGCCCAATAAACGACTTGACCATTCTGATGGGAGATTTAAATGCCAAGGTTCGAACGGACAACACTGGATATGAAGACATCATGGGACGACACGGACTGGGAGAAAGAAACGAAAATGGTGAGAGATTTGCAAATCTATGTGCCTTCAATAAGCTGGTCATAGGCGGCACCATATTCCCACGTAAACGCATACACAAAACCACATGGATTTCACTGGATCACTCTACACAAAACCAAATCGACCATATTTGCATCAACAAAGTGTTCAGGAGGAATATAGAGGACGTGAGAACCAAGAGAGAAGTTGATATGGCATCAGATCATCACTTGCTGGTCGCCAAGATGAAGTTGAAACTCAAGAAACACTGGACAACGGGGCGGACAATATCACAAAAGTTCAATACGGCCTTTCTTCAGGATACTAACAAACTCAACAAATTCAAGATAGTCCTCAGCAACAAGTTCCAGGCCTTTCATTATCTACTCAATGGAGAAGGAACTACTACTGAGAGCAACTGGAAGGGAATCAAAGAGGCAATCACTTCAACATGTCATGAGGTTCTGGGCCACAAGAAGCACCATCACAAGGAACGTATCACTGTTGATACACTGGATAAGATTCAAGAGAGGAGGAACAAGAAGGCAGTAATCAATACCAGTCGAACAAGAACAGAGAAAGCCAAGGCACAAGCTGAATACACAGAAGTAAACAAGCAGATGAAGAGGAGCATCAGAACCGACAAACGTAAATATGTGGAAGATTTAGCAACGACGGCGGAAAAGGCTGCAAGAGAAGGAAACATGAGACAATTGTATGACACGACAAAGAAAATCTCTGGAAATCGCCGCAAACCAGAACGACCAGTGAAAAGCAAGGAAGGCAAGGTAATCACTAACATTGAAGAGCAACAAAACAGGTGGGTAGAACACTTCAAAGAACTCTTGAATCGACCAGCTCCACTGAACCCACCCAACATCGAAGCAGCACCCACGGACCTCCCAATCAATGTTGGCCCACCAACAATTGGAGAAATCAGCATGACCACCAGACAAATCAAGAGTGGCAAAGCAGCAGGACCAGACAACATTCCAGCAGAGGCACTAAAAGCAGACGAAGCGGCAACTGCAAGGATACTCCACATTCTCTTCAATAACATTTGGGATGAGGAACAAGTACCAGAAGACTGGAAAGAAAGGCTTCTGATCAAAATACCGAAGAAAGGTAATCTCAGCAAGTGTGATAACTACAGGGGCATCACTCTTCTCTCAATACCGGGAAAAGTCTTCAACAGGATATTGTTAAACAGTATGAAGGACTGCGTAGACGCACAACTTCGTGACCAACAGGCAGGATTCCCGAAGGATAGATCGTGTACAGACCAAATCGCAACTCTACGGATCATTGTGGAACAATCAATTGAATGGAATTCATCACTCTACATCAACTTCATCGACTACGAAAAGGCATTTGATAGCGTGGACAGAACAACACTATGGAAACTTCGTCGACATTACGGCGTGCCTCAGAAGATAGTCAATATCATACAGAACTCATATGATGGATTACACTGCAAAATTGTGCATGGAGGACAGTTGACAAAGTCGTTCGAAGTGAAGACCGGTGTTAGGCAAGGTCGCTTACTCTCACCCTTTCTCTTTCTCCTGGTGATCGACTGGATCATGAAGACGTCAACGTCTGAAGGGAAGCGCGGGATACAATGGACATCTAAGATGCAGTTGGATGATCTAGACTTCGCAGACGATCTGGCCCTTCTATCCCAAACGCAACAACAGATGCAGGAGAAGGCGAACAGTGTGGCAGCAGCAATAGGTCTCAATATACACAAAGGGAAAAGCAGGATTCTCCGATACAACACAGAATGCACCAATCCAATCACAATTGACGGAGAAGATTTGGAAGATGTAAAAACCTTTACATATTTGGGCAGCATCATTGACGATCAGGGTGGATCTGATGCAGATGTGAAGGCGCGGATCGGCAAAGCAAGAGCAGCATATTTACAACGGAGGAACATCTGGAACTCAAAGCAACTGTCAACCAACATTAAGGTCAGGATTTTCAATACAAATGTCAAGACAGTTCTACTGTATGGGGCAGAAACCTGGAGAACTACGAAAGCCATCATCCAGAAAATACAGGTGTTTATTAACAATTGTCTACGCAAAATACTTCATATCCATTGGCCGGACACTATTGGCAACAACGTACTGTGGGAGAGAACAAACCAGATCCCAGCGGAGGAAGAAATCAGGAAGAAGCGCTGGAAGTGGATAGGACACACATTGAGGAAAGCACCCAACTGCGTTACAAGACAAGCTCTCACATGGAATCCTCAAGGCCAAAGGAAAAGAGGAAGACCAAAGAACACATTACGCCGAGAAATGGAGATAGACATGATAAAGATGAACAAGAATTGGATGGAACTAGAAAAGAAGGCCCAGGACAGAGTGGGTTGGAGAATGCTGGTCGGCGGCCTATGCTCCATTGGGAGTAACAGGCGTAAGTAAGTAAGTAAATAAGTAAGATAGATGTCACATAAAAGTTGAGGATAAAAGTCGATTTATTGAAACAAACTTGATGTTTGTCAACATCTAACTGTTATTACTAGCAAAACATGATGAGAAAGAGAGAAATGATCAACATACTAGACAACCACTAATGCATACCTTAAGATCTAACATGAGTGAATATCGGCTAAAGTTGCTATACTTCAACACTAGCACATCTAGAGAAAGGATAAAAATAATAAAGGAAGAAATAAAGGGAAAGGAAAATAAATAGTATAGATTCCTCTACGAAAGTAATCTATAAGAAATATTTGCAGCTTAAGTGAATTTTTTTTGTATTTTTTGAGGACTCTGAGCTAGATTGTTCAAATGAGAAGATTTCACTATCGATTACTTGATAATTAGATCATCTATCTTGGATAACTTATCGACACCAAAAGTACATGAAATCTGATTTAAAAACGGGGAATAAAGTAAAGTAGTATAGATGGCACTGTGACATTGTGACCGACTAAACTCAAGTTACTAGGCATCACTAACCATAGATTGTAAACTTTCCGTTCCAGAACTGATAACATGCACTGTTTGGAGTCTTTCTTGCGATTACGAAACATCTCCTTGATACAGGACATCAGGTCGATAGACACATTGCAATCGTTTAAGGTGATTAGTAAGCAGCCAAAATCCAGTCTTCTGACGTTTACTGAAGCTGTTGCTACTAGACGCTAAAAATATGATTTATGCGTTCAAAAGGAGACAAATACTCCCCCGCTACATCTGAAATTTTTTTCTTTTACTCTAAACTCTTTCTTGCATTTATTACATCATCGTGTCTTATTTCAACTAACTTCCAAACTAATAATCTTATTTTATCGACTGAGCTTTACTCACTACATTCGGATCAATATTTATTCATTATGTAATCACTTGTTTCTAGCCGTTTGAACTGTTGTCACAATCAATGTTGTAGGATGTTCTTTCACATAAGGAACATATATTGACAATATGCAATCTATTGAATTTATTTAAACCCTTGCTATACTATACGAATATGTCTTCAATATAACTTCCAACCAAACCCTCTCATGTAAGTAATTTAAACCCATTATATAATTATGATTTTCAAATATCACAGGTTGTAAGCAGCTGACCAGAACCAACGAAATAAAAATGAATTCATGCTATTCTACTAGAATCTTTGTTCTTGCTCTTTTCAAAATGATAAAGGCAACTATGTGTATGAAATTCGTATTTTGTTTTAGTATAATCATGCCTAGTGGTTTTTATTCTACTGTTATACTTGAGAATAGGGCAATGGTGAATGTATACCACATGCGTTAATGATCTCAACTCACTAATTCTTAAAGTCTTATTAATTGGTCCATATATTACTGAGTATCATTACTAAGGGAGCTCAGGAGTAGATTAACAGTTGTTTAAGTACAATGATTCACCAACAAAACAATTATTTCTACTTACTATTATTCGATCTTCTATTTACTTATTATTTAACCTGACCACTTTACAAAACGATCAACTTTCAAATGATTTTTTATCAATTCTTTGAAAACACAACATCATAATATGATTGATTAAAAATAGGTTACTTTTATTATAGTAACTTTCAGTATATATATATATATAATGGTGCATCTATCAGCTGATTGACTAGCTTAGTTTCTCGATTTATTTAAAGATGTGCATAAAACATATATATACTTGAATAAATGATAATAAAATACATATCTTCTTCTTAAATCTGACTGGTTATCGTTTACTTCAAGGTTACTCACTTGATCAATACGATTTGATTGGATATAATGAAATGAAATGAAACACAAATAAAACAAGCACATTATTTAAAATTTCACTTTTTTTTTAGAAAATTATTAACTGAAAATTTTGGTGAAGTATATATATGTTAGTTATTATTTATATTTCAGTAAGTCAGTTTTATAATAATGTTACAGTTAATCATATATTAATATCAGAAAGGGTTTTTTAGTGATAAGTAATTTTAATAGTTGAGATAATGAGTCAATTGAAGCTAGACTACCATGGAAAGCGTGGAAGTATTAGACAACCGTTTCGTCCTATTGTGGGACTCCTAAGTAGTGCACATCCACGATCTTGCCTTGCAAGGTTCGGAACAGGATCTGTCGATCCCACACACGAACGCTTAACCTTTACACTTCTAGATCAACATATGCTCACTAGTGACTAGCTTCAAGAGGTATATCCTGGAGTTCTGGTGAGGAGCAGTGACCAGTGGAGATCAACTTGGTCTGTTGTGAGATAGTAACTCACTGATGACAATGGGGGATGTGTCGCTCAGTTTCGTGGATTAGTTGAAGTTAGACATGAACACCGTTGGATGCCGGCCGGCTCAGTGGTCTAGAGGTTAAGAGTTCGCACGCGAGACCGAAGGCTTTGGGTTTGAATCCCGTGAGCAGGATCGTGGATGCGCACTGCTTAGGAGTCCCACAATAGGACGAAACGGTCGTGCAGCGCTTCCAGGTTTTCCATGGTGGTCTAGCTTCAACTGACTCATGATCTCAACTATGAAAATCATATATTACTTATTTACTTCCTGACTCTTGTTACCCTTCGTGAAGGAACAGGCCATTCACCAGAATCATAGATATTGTGAAAAAAATTAAATGATTATCATTGCTAATTAACATATATAGTTCAAGTATCCTCATTCAGAGAGTTAGAAAATATTTCATCATTTAGGTAGGAGATTTTTTCGGGAATTTGCTTGAAGATCATCTCGATTATGAATCGATATTACTTGGAGAATTAGAGAACTTTGGAAAACTATTTCGTTCAAGATAGAGACTTTCTGATGGTATTGGCGATACCATGGTTTATGGACGAACCAACCACGTATAAGATCACAGGTTTCGGATTTTGGCGTGAAATTCACTCATCTATTGGGTCAAATATAGTTTTGGCATTATAGCTGATATCACTTCGTGATAGAAACCCTAAATCTAATTCCTAACCTTAACCATCAACTGTAATTCTAATTCCTCACTCTGGTTTATAATCCTCACTTGGTCCTAGTTACTAGGTGGATACTCTCAAGGTCACTTTAGTGTCGCTCAGAGGTTGTTCATAAATTATAGTCTCACCATAGTATTCATTTATCTACGAAGGTTGAAATTATGGAACATTGGATTACAGAACGCATACAGTACGTCAGACTTCTTGATTGTCAACTGATTGTCTGGATGATTAATGATGAAATGAAGTTTCTGAAATCATCGGTACATGAAATAATGAGGCATCTAAATAATTTAACCTAAAATGACATCCATAGATGCTACAAATAATGAATATGGGAGGTATTTTGAAGGAATTAGGCTGGTATGGGTTGAATTTTGTAAAATAAACTTTTCATGATCACGTTTCGAGTATTTGTTGGGCAGATTTAGTATGAACTGTAGAGAAGTAATACTAATGAGTTTCTGTGTAATACATTCAGTCTATTTATTTATGAAGTGCTTGTAATCTGGTTAAACTATATGTGCCAGTAGTTTTTTCAACATTTCAAATTAGAAACACGAAGTTCAGTGAAGAGATCTCTTTTCAACGAATTTATTATCAAGCTGTACAATCGTATATATATGAAAATGTTTTTTGTTAAAGTCCTAGTTCCATGAGGAACAGTGAACACGAACAACCAAGATGACGTAATAGAAAAATTATAATATTAGATTACGTAACACGAATAATAACAATAGACTTAGTAAATTAGTAATGAATTATAACGTGAATGTAATAAGATGACTAGGGCACGAGGAAGGCAGTTAAAAGTTGTATATTTGAACATCTAATTGACTGTAATCAATCTACGGATCTTTAGTTTGAATTTAAGGTTGTATGTACGATTCGTTCAAATCTACGTAAATTTCTTCGTATCCAACTACTAAAAATAGCCTATGCTCTTATCATCCATGAGCTCAAGCCAGAACTATGCGTACAAAAGAAGTACGTCCTATCGTTATTGTTACCTTGACCTTAATTATTATTACTTCATTCCCCCTTATGTCTCATATTCTCATTATTTTATTCATAAATTTCGATAATGTAATAAGAAGACGAAGATCATCAGAAATATGTAATGATATATTAGCGCAATGGACAGTATAGAAAGTATAATTATACATTTGAGATGATCTCATTTGATAGAAATAAGGCATTAATTAATAAATGATGTATCTAGCTTTCATCGTTATATTTATGAAGGATATCAGAAAAAGTATTTTAAGTTGATATATCTTCAATTATTTAGCCTACATAATAAAAGGAATAACCCATAATATTTTCAGACTAACCATGTATATTCCATTCCTTTCTATCTCTTATTAATTTATTTATTTGAACACAAACATTGGTACAAGGAGGCACCGAATGGATATGCGCCACATAAATCATCCGATTTATGTGAGGGATGGGATACTGCTCAGGTGCCCAAACCGAAACATGTGGTTTTCTTAGGAGGTCACACCCGGAGCCTTCGACCTAAAAGTTTGATCCACAAGGTGGTGAAGCAACGTAAGGAGATGCAGTCCCATGGTGGCCGGTGATCAACAACTGGTTCATACACCATTTGATCCCTCAGAATCCTGGAGTTCATGTGCACCAATTATTTAAAATTAGGGTTTACCAACTCCTCTAGGTGGACCCTCCGTGTCTATCAACCCGGTTAAAGCGCCAGACATTCACTTTTCGTCCTTCCAGTTCCGTAAACAACAGTAATGTTGCGAGGAGGCGGTGAATAGGACTTCTCTATCAGTGGCTGTATACGCGTGGTCATATGACAGCATTTCGAGAGGGGGAGCTGACTCTCCCCACCCTCGACCATACCAGAGCATTTGGGGGTCATCTTTTAATCTTTACAAATCGCTTAGTAATTATAGGATTGTTAATTCTATTGATTAATTATTATTATTCTTTTCATTGATAAGTTTGAGTGAATTAACAGAGTAAAATTTATAAACTATAAGAAAAATGATACATGTCTGAATTAACAAAATAAGATATTAGAATAGTTGAATTTATAAGTTGATATAAGTTAGACCACTATTGAAAACTTGAAAGGATTGGACAAATGTTTCGTCTTAATGTAGAACTCTTCAGCAGTGCGTATCCATAGTCCTGCTTGTGGGACTCAAACCCAGAACCTTCGGTCTAATTTACATCAATTCATGAATTCAATTATTAAAATTACTACAATCCTTTTGAACTCATCAACTTCGTTTCAAACTCTTAATAGGATAACCTAATCATTTGATAGAGTTATTTTAGTATTGATTCTATGAAACAATTTTGTGTTATCAACATCATATCGTTTGTTAATCTTATTTTAATGAAGAAGTGTAAATATTGTTTTGACAAAAATATGCATTACTTACTATTAATCTTGCGCCTGTTACTCCTCGTGGAGGAGCATAGGCCTCTCCACTAGCATTCTCCATCCAACCCTGACCTGTGCAATCTTTTCCAGCTCTTTCCAGTTGTTATTCATCATTTTCATATCTGCTTCTATTTGTCGACGCAATTATTATTATTATTATTATTATTATTATTATTATTATTATTATTATTGTCATCATATTGTGATGTCTAATTAATTTCCCATTCTTTATTACTTGTATACCTATTTATTGTTATGACTTGTGCCCTGTGTTCTATTAATGTATACCGTAATGATACCGCCAATAAGAGGACAGCGACTTACCTATCGGATCAATGACCCATAAAACCCGTAAGAACAGTTTAGAGCCCTTATCGGTCCTGCTTCCCCCTAGCCCCACCTGTTAAGTCCAGAACACCAATCTCACCCTCTGCGATATGAATCATGTATTTCAAACATACTGGGTTTATATACCATCCGAACAGACCACATCGTACCATAAAATAGGAAACAACATTTGTACAAGATTTAGCCAAATATGGGAGATAGTAATTGGTAGACTGAGCATAACTGAAGAACGGTAAATCGTATAATACTAATCTTTGGGTTATAATAAAGCTGATAATAGGAGGGACACAGATATGGATAGTTAAGTTACTCAACAATTATACAATAAAAAATATACGTATAGTGATAGTCCAGAAATAGATTCCAACAGTTACCATTCATTATTCTCATCGAAATATAACACTTATTACTTAAGTAAATATATCCAGACATATATTAATTGTTAGTTATAGAGGTCTCAATTGTTTATTTTGTTTTTATTAATATACGTCATTTATGGTGGAAGAGAGATGTATGTCTGTCTATCAAATTGTAATTATACTGTAGAATGATCTATAAAGATAGCATGTAATTATTGAAGCATAGAATTCCATGGTCTATTGTTCCTATATGATGGAACTATATAATGAACAATATTGGTGTTATGTTGACAGTAGTAAATAGTAGTGAGGCTGTAAACATTCATTACCTAGTTTGTTTGGAACAATTATTACACTTACTTGGTATGAGGGAATGGATTTTAATGTCATAATCAAGACTGAACTTCACTGATCATGCACAAATCGATAACACATATGATTGTTGCATTTTTTCGCTTCAAAACCATTATATTTCATAAAATATTAGAAGATAGATCTTATTTGACTGGGAAGAAGTAATGTTTGGTAAATTGCCAATCTTTCTATTATATTACTAAGCAGTATAAAATTACAATGAAAATTTTGTTTAAATAGTTTGTGCTCATAGGTTTAACAACAGAATTGATTGTTTAACTAGGTTTTTTTAACCACATAACAGGATAAATTAAGAGTTGAGAAGAAAGGTTCCTATCATAATGACCGATGATATAACATGTGGATTATCAGTAGCTTCTTGCCACTACCTAACCACTTCTAACGCTGTATTATGTCTGCATCGCTAATTACAAAGACGAGGAACAATTGAGATTC